TAGTAGTTTCTTATGGTTACTGTGCTTGTTTTACTCGTTTTTACGCCATAGTAATTCATTAGCCAAAAAGTCAAAGGATGTTTTTAATTGGACTGTAATTTGCTGGTCTGGTCTGAACTGGTCTGGTTTCTTTGTATTTTTATAACTATCCAAGTTCGGTCTGGTCTGGTCTGGTCTGAACTGGTCTGGTCTGGTGTAGTCTGGTCTGGACTGGTCTGATCTGGGACAAATTACAGTCCAAGTAAAAACATCCAAAGTCTGATTTGAAATTGTAGGATGAAAGGGAGCAATGAATTTCAAAATTGTCTTAGATAAATCTTTAGCCTTGGCCTGTCAGGGCATGCTAGGTAGCGGAATTTCATACATTAAAGAAAAGGGAAACTTATTAAACTAGTTAACAATACTAGGGGTGTGGACCATTAAAAAAATACCGGGGGTGTGGACACGTTCCGGTCCAGAACGGCTACGATCTCGAGCCGGCCGGTCATTAAAATATTTAGAGGCCTAGGACCTATGTTTTCGGTTCCTATCCCCATCAGTCCCAGTTGATTTGACTCTAGAAATTCTTTGTACATTCTAAAACACTCCCACCCCCTCCACCACGCCCATTTTCACATCTTAAATGGATTGAAACTTTTTTTTAACATTCTTAACTACAACAATCGAAATGTAAAAAAAAAGATCGGAATTCTAACATGACCAGTTAGTCCTGTTCTAAAGAATTAAGGATTGGGACCTCTTTCCCAGCGGTCCAGTATCGGTCTCATTCGAGAACCGCTAATTTTAGCCCCGATTGGGGTTCGAAGAACTGCATGATCCCAGATTGGACAGGTTCCAAAACCATGTGCACCCTTGTTAACATCCAAAAATATAACTAGACAAGTGTTTGATATGGACCCGTATACTAGACATAAATGACTTAAACCTACACATAGCTCCTTGAGCAAGGTAGACCTATACTCCGTGGGTCTGAAAATTTGGATCCAAACCTGGACTAACAAGCCTCAGAACTGGGTCAGATAGACCTGCCAAATACGTGAGATGCAACACATTATAAACTTTGCTACACTCCTCAATCGTCAATAACAATAAACAAATTTGAAAAGAAAAACATATATTTACTTAATTACTTTTCATAAAATAAAATTCAAGGTTTCACATAAAAAATTAGAATTTTTATCCGGTTCTTGTAGAGGATTGTGACTTCACGGTCTGTGTCTCTTTCTCGCATAGAAAGCTCATAGAATATACTAGAAATTAGGTCACAGAACGGTCTCTTGAACTAGTGAGAGTATAAAAGCATGTTATATATGAGGTAATAGTATTTTTAATAATACTAATAATTGGGTTTTGCCTACCGATGCCAATACACACTTTATCAAGACGTATATATGGATATTAATTTTAGCATATGTCACTATTTCACTATCACTTATATAGTAGGTATGTATTATTGTGTGTGTGTATTAGTTTGTATTTTTTTCTTTCAAGTATTATAACTAATCAATGTATTAGTGTGTGTGTACTCCCGTCGTCCCATAGAAAGGTTCTCACTTTCCATTTTTAGACGTCCCAGATAAAGGTTCTCATTTCCAACTTAGAAAACAATTAACAATCATAAATGACAAATTGATCATTAAATATTAAAAATAATACATTTATAATATCATGGTTATCAACACTAACCTCATTATATTATATTTCTCAAAATATACTCGAACCACATTATGTAATTATGAGAAAAGGGTCAAATGAAGTTGGGAAAATGGAAACTAATAATCTAACCTTTTAGCGGTCTTCTTACAATAGTCTCACCTTTTCGTTATTCATGAATAATCAAACCTTTGCACCTCATCTTCATTCACTGGCAGTGGCGGAACCAAAGAATAATTTGAGGGGGTGTTCTTAATTTTTTTTTACAATTTTTTATACGTAGTACTAGGATAAACAAAAAACGAATGAACAAAATTATCATTAGATATATATAGAGTTATTTGAAAAATGCGAATGAGTGCATTTTTACTCACTTTGGTGCACTAGTAGATATTTGTTTTACACTTTTTCACAATAAGATTTTTTTATGTATATACCAAATTTTCACTGCGTTTTTTGATAAAATGTAGGGCATTGTTGTCTATTCTGAGTCATCAGATATCAAGTTTAATGCGTGAGATCTATTATTCATTTTCATGAGAAAAACTCTTTTTATTTGATCCAAAACTTATACATATGTATATACATTGTGTTTCAAAAAAAATGTTATTATATTAAAGAAAAAGCATATGTACGTCATTATTAAAAGAAGGAAGAAATAATTAAAAACTTGTTTTATGTTTGTCTTTGTATTTCAAAATAATTATAAGCTATGTTATAAATGTAATTTCGAGCATTGAACTAAGAAAGAAAATGAGAATTGCGTATTAATACTCGAAAGAAGAAAAGGTGAAAAATGGGAGTCAAAATCTAAACAAGCAATAGGAGTCAACAACAAAAAAAGTGGAAGGGCAAATGCGGGAGCAGGGGCGTAGCCAGGACACTGGGCTAGACTGGGCCGGTACAAAGAATATTATTGGGAAAAAATTTACACGAAATTTTTTACACTAAAAATATTGACATTTTTCAAATTTGGGGTGGGCCAGGGCCTAGCCTGGGCACCCCCTAGCTCCGCCCCTGTGCGGGAGGAAGCAAAAATGGAACACCGAAGTACCGAACTGACAGGCCACAACTAAAAGAGAAGTGCAAGACAAATACTCCCTCCGTCCCGGAAAATTGTTCCCGGTTTCCTTTTTGGGCCGTCCCAAAAAATTGTTCCACTTTCCCCTTTTGGAAAGTTTTTTGTGGCTACAATTCATTTACCTTTTTCTTACTCAACCACAACCATACATTTCAACTTTATTCTCATTTTCTTAAACTCCGTTCCAAGTCAATGCGGGAACAATTTTCCGGGACGGAGGGAGTAAGAGAAAGCAAAAATTAATCGCCATCCCCAGGGAATTGAACGCACAACGTTCAAGAAGCCAGCGTTCTCTTCGCACAAAAACTTCAGTCTGAACTGACAGCGCCATAACAATAATATCTCTACTTGGGCTTTAATATTAATTACCTCACAACCGGGGCTGAGATATATACATATATATATATATATATATATATATATATATATATATATACACACTAGCGCAGCCGGAGAACGGGGGGGGGGGGGGGGGGGGCACTGGCTCGACCCCCCTAGTTCTGTCACTGTTCACTGGTCCCTGACCGATTGGTGAACTGCTATTCCAAATTATTTTCTTATCTTTGAAAACCATTATATCATAAATCTCACCTTTCACAAAGATAATATTTTGCAAAGATAAGAAAATAACTTGGAATAACAGGTCATTAACTCGTCAGGGACCAGCGAATGAAGATGAGGTGCAAAGGTTGGATTATTCTTGAATAACGAAAAGGTGGGAACTATTGTAAAAAGACTGCTAAAATGTTGGATTATTAGTTTCCTTTTTCCCAATAAAAGTTTCTACAATTATGAAATCGTCACATAAGACCATGTATTCAATAATGTGTTATATAGATACGTCTACTTATAAAAAGCAATCGGATGAGTTCTAACGACCTTTTGACAAGCTCGTAATGCCGGATTAGTGTACGTCTGACTATCTTTTCAAAACAGATTATAAGGCAGACATGGAATATTTAACCAGATTGGCTTAAACACAAGGCAAAAATAACGATACGTAGCTAAAATTGGAATTAAGAGGTTGTCAACATATCGTTGGGATTCATCTGATTGCTTTTTATAAGTGAACATATTTATTTGACATTTTATTGAGTACATGACCTTATGTGACGATTCCATAATAGTAGAAGGCCTTATTTGACCCTTTTCCCTTTAATTATTGTCTAAATAACCGTGTTATTTTGCCATGAGAACCTTTCAACGTGACGAATGTAGTAACATAGTCCCTCCGTTCTTTATTAAGTGTCAACTTATGTTTTGGCACGGGTTTATAAGTGGAAAATAATAGAGGTAATGTAAAAGGTGTAGTAGTTTTTGTTTAAATGATAAAGTAGGAAAAAGAAGGGGGGTAAGGTAATAAAAATAGGGGTAAAAAGGTATTTTAACTGAAAAAACTTACCAAAAACAGAAAAAAGGACAAATAATTTAAAGTGTCCCAAAAAGAAATACTAGACAGCTAATAAAGATCGGAAGTGTAGATTAAGGCTTTGTTTGCAACCACTTGTGCTTAAATAAAAGTACTTTTTGATAAAAAGTGAGTAGTAGTAAAAGTTGGTAGTGTTTGGTAAAATAAGTGCTATTTGTGTAATAGAAAAAGTAAAAAGTAGATTCTACACGGAAGCCGAGAAAGTAAAAGTTGGTAGTGTTTGGTAAAATAAGTGCTTTTTTCTTAAAAAAAAGCCAAAATGGATGCAAACAAAGTCTAATAAGACTTGTAAATGGGTCTCAATTCTTAACGGGTCAAAACTATATGTATCATACTTGACCCGTTTATTAAAAATACTAATGGATTTGAGTTCGGGTCGGATCCGAGTCTAGACCCGTTGAGAGTAGTGGTGGACTCGGTGCGGGCCACCCGACCCGGAAACCGGGTACCGATTCCGGGTCTAGGCCCGGTTGATGGATGAAACCAGGGCCGGTTCCGAGATTGCTTAAATGTGAACCGGCTTGGTTAGGCCGGGCCCAGTTTGGGCCTATTTTTTATTTTTATTTTTATTTTTTATTTTGGTTTGGGCTTGGTTTAAATGAGCTGGACTGAGTGTTTCCGATGAGTTTGGGGATGGGGGATGGGGGTAGGGATGTAATAATCAAGAAAACAAAAAAAATAGAACCGGACCCGGCCCAACACCGGTCAACATCTGGGCTGGTCCTGGGCTTCACTGAAATTTTTTAGGCCCGGCCCGGCCCGGCCTAGGCCCGACCTGGGCTCGGACCGGACCCGGTCCATGACTATTTGAGTGGCCTGCTTGCCTACTTGGAACCTGGCGCTGGAGAAAAACAAAGCGCTCGGCACTCCCAAGTCCCAAACTCTGGCACTCTCCTTCCCATCGCTGCTTCACAATTTGTTGTCTGGAAAAAGAGGACCGAGAAAGGATGAAAAATCTGAAGCTATGGAAGAAGCTTTCTTCGAAAATCAAACTACAGTCGGAGGATGAAGTGATACAATTGGCTGCCTTTGACATGGAGCGCAATCGCATATTCTGCTCATCCTCAACAAATACCTTGTACACTATTTACCTGCCTTATCAAGTAATTCCCTTTCTCCATCCTCTAATTCTCATTCCTAATAATTCTTCGTCTTATTAATCCGTTTCGCTTATATCCCCATTAGTTTTAGTTTAATCTGAACACAGTGCAGATGATTTTTTGAGATTCTGACGGACCTCTTGCGGTTATAGTTGAATCTGAAACGCATATTTCGAAGGCTAACTTATGGTTTTGAAGACAGTATGAGACTATTAGATTATAGATAGTAGCTAGCAGTAATTCTACTAGAATTGTTTATGCCTTAAGGTTAATTTAGAGTCTTAATTCTGTTGAATTCAACCATCTTTTCTTTGCCGCCCAAGTCAATCCTATATTTCAGCCTGTTTCCTCTTTATTTCTTGTGTCGGGATTGGAATAGGTGTAGTAGGGTTTTTTCACATTTTTGTGCATAAGATCAGTATTTTTTGCTGTTTGATCCCACTGCTTGTGAATGAAATGATGGCTCCTTAATGAACAGCAGTTTGGATAAGGTATTCCATTTTTAGTTAATCATAGCGAATCACACTGTTCTAACATTGCCCTTTCTGTTGTCTTATTTAGGTTGAGTGTGTGATTTATATTTTCCAAAAACATCTTTTTTATTGTTATGAGGTATTGAGGTGTCATTATTTCTAAATTCATCATAGCAGCACTTAAGACACAATGAGGTCCATCTCCTACACTTTTACATCATCAGTGACCTATGTCTAAGAGCTGATGTAAAGAATGGAGTACAAGTTACATTTTAAAATTGCATTTGCTCCATAATAAAGCTGCTCTTATAATTTATCTTTTTATTGTGTCAGGAGCTTTAGATAATTTAACACACTGGAGGCCAAATTGTTTTAAAGAAAATACTTTCTGTCTTACAAGATTGTTATGACAGGATGCAGGAGAATTCAGTTCAGCTTCGTACCACCACGTTGATATAGAACCTGGAGACTCCATTACATGCATGGATTATCTTATGGAGAAAGAAGCACTTATTGCTGGAACATCCTATGGACATATATTCTTATACAAGGTAGATGATAATTTGACTGAAATTGTTGGTCAAGTAGAGGGTGGTGTTAAGTGTGTCTCCCCTAGTCCCGATGGAGATCTGCTTGGCATAATTACTGGTTTTGGGCAAATGCTAGTCATGACACAAGAATGGGAGGTGCTATATGAGATGGGAATTGATGATCTACGAGATGATACTGACATAAGTAAGAACTTCTGTCTATGACTGTATTTCAAAGTTAACTTCTTTTTTGAATTCTTAAGTGCATTGCTTTTAAGTAATCCCTTTGTTTTTCACTTTTTCTACAATGCTCAACTTATCAGCTAAGCTTCCATTCTAATATGGTTATCCCAATCTTGTTCTGCTTGTCTTTGCAAACAACTTGTATGCGTAAACCATGTTATTTTTTACTAGTAATATTTTAAGATCAAATTAGTACATACTGTTTTCTCTCCATATTCAATAACAATGCCAAAATATACAAAGCTTCTAGATTTATTAGGGTGCATATGAAAAAGTGAAATAAAATATAATGCTTTAATCATATCAACTATCATTTCTTAATTTGTGCGAAAATAGCTATATGACAAGCTATGTGTGAACTGTGTTGAAGGGAGTAATATAATAATTCATTTGTAAATAGGTTCAGTGGAACTCTTTATATCGTATTAGACACATGCAAGGAATGAAGCAAACATCAGTTCGAGCCAAGCATGAAAATCTCTCTGATATTAATTAATCTTTCTCCGATCATTTGTTTTAACTTGATAGATATCAATGGAGGGGGTAATGGTAAACTGATACGTAGAATTTTTTTCATTAATCTCAAATCGACTAAAATTAACATAATCCAATAAGTATCGACACTTAAATGCAGAAAATTGTATGGATATCATGAATAAAAAAAGTGTAATTAAAATATCCAGATTTTCGATTTTATCAAGGAAATATATAGAAACAGATATATCACGGAAATACAACAACAACATTAGCCCATTGCCGCAAAGGTTCCTACCTACGGTGAGGTAAGGGGGGTCGGATGTATGAAGCCTTATCCCTGTACTAAAGCACAAATAGACGGTTTCCAGATGACCAATGATGAAAGTTGCACTGAGAATTGCATGAATTGACCGCTTCTTCATAATAAAGAAGCGGAGACAATTTAGTGAGCCATTTTGATTTATTCCACCATATTCTCAAGCCAAAAAATAGTGAGTCTTTGGCTCCATTGGAAATGGTGAAAAGATATAACGCAGAAATATCAAAGAAAATAAAATATAACAGAAATATCGTAATAAATAAAATATCATGGAAATATTGAGTTACATTTATCCGTGATATCAATAAATTTTAATATTTCATAATTATTGCAAATAAGTGTACTTCAAAATTCAGAGATTTTTTTGTAAGTATCAAATTTGATACTAAGCTTGATTATTAGTAATTTAGTATAAACTATTGAGAAAAACGAGTATACAACATACTCAATAATATTTTATAGAGTAAATTTGAAGTTTTGAACACTATTATGTAGTTGGTCAATGTTTGTAATATCTGTAGTACTTTACAATCAATATATTTGTAATTAAGAATTTAAGATCTCATCTTATCAAGATTTAATAAACAAATTTTAAGATTTGATGTTTATTTTCTAAAAATTTAATAAAGCATTCACTTCTATAATTTTTACTGATATTGAAAGTTTATTGATATATCCATAAAAGTAAAAAGTCCATATGTATACCGATATTTTCATCCTTGGTTTTAGCTTACATCCTTTTACTGGCATCGCTGTGCACACATAACTATTCTTCTCATCACTAGATGGCTAATTAATATCCTTGCATTACTTTCAGATGAACAAAATTATTCTTCTAGTTACCCCTTTGAGAGCATTATTTCATGGCGAGGTGATGGGAAATACTTTGCCGCTCTGAGCCGGGTAAATGATTCATCTAAGGTGCATAAGAAGCTTAATGTTTGGGAACGAGAATCAGGTAAACAACATTCTGTTTCTGAACCAAAGGCTTTCATGGGAACCGCTTTTGACTGGATGCCCAGTGGAACCAAAATAGCTGCAGTATGTGATGGAAATGAAGAACACAAGTGTTTATCAATTGTTTTCTTTGAGAGGAATTGTTTGGAAAGGAGCTCATTTAGACTTAAAGAAGAAATAGGTGTGACTGTAGAACATCTGAAATGGAATTTGAGTTCAGATCTTTTAGCAGCAATATTACGCAATGAAAAGTATGATTCTCTCAAGATATGGTACTTTAGCAACAACCATTGGTACTTGAAGCAAGAAATCAGATATGCAAAGGAGCATGGTATTAAATTCATGTGGGATCCAACAATTCCACTGCAATTGATTTGTTGGACTGTTTGTGGACAGATCTCAACCTACACTTTTAACTGGGTGACAGCTGTCATGGAGAGTTCAGTGGCACTTATAGTTGATGACTGCAAGATTTTAGTTACACCCCTTTCTCTCTCTCTTATTCCTCCCCCTATGTATTTATTTTGTTTAAACTTTCCCAGTGCCATCCAGAATATGGCATTTTTTACCAGTGGCTCTAAAAATCATCTGGCTGCATCTTTGTCAGATGGCAGTCTCTGCATTCTAGAGCTTTCTGAACTTGGCACATGGGAGGACCTAGAGGACAAAGAATTCGACGTGGAACCAGCATCAGTTGATATTATGTGTTGTTCTTATGCACATCTTGCATGGTTGGGTTCACGTAAGCTCCTATGTGTTTCCCATTCCAACAACGATGGGTATACTGCATATAACTTAGAGGAAGTGGAGTTCATATGTTCTGAAAATTACATTCCTGGTTCAGTAACATCCTCAGGTTGGCAAGGGATGATTTCAAATCATGTTTTTCTTGAAGGACCTGTCATTGGTGTAGTGTCCGACACATATAGTTACTCAGCATGTTTACAGTTTGATGGTGGAAAAGTTATTGAATATATTTCGAAGTCCGCTGGGGCAAGAGGAGTCTTGAAACGTAGTGATTTATGCTTTCAATCTTCATGTCCATATATGAGTCTTGCTCGCGGTGGAGGCCCTTTGCCAAATAAAGGCTTGCTCTTTGGTCTTGATAATAATGGCCAATTGCATGTTGGTGGGAACATAGTATGCAACAACTGCACTAGCTTTTGTTTCTACTCTAATACTGCCGACCAAACAGTCACACATTTGGTTTTTGCTACGAAGCAGGATCTATTGTTTATTGTTGACATTAATGACACCCAACGAAAAGATTTAGCAGCAGAGTATCAGAACTTTCTGCCCATTATCGGCAACAAAAGAGTAGCTGATCCGAAGATTTATGTAAATATATGGGAAAAAGGTGCCAAAATTGCTGGTGTATTGCATGGAGATGAGTCTGCTATCATACTTCAAACCAACAGAGGTAATGTTGAATGCATCTATCCCAGAAAGTTGGTCCTTACCTCCATTATGAACGCCTTACATCAGAAGCGTTTTGAAGATGCATTACTCATGGTTAGACGACATCGGATAGATTTCAATTTTATTCTTGATGCTTGTGGGTGGAAAAGATTTCTTCCGTTAGCTGGTGAGTTTGTGAAGCAAGTTAACAATTTGAGCTATATTACTGAGTTCATTTGTTCAATAAAGAATGAAAACATCATTAATACTATGTACAAGAACTATTTATCTGTCTCCAGCTTGATGGAAGCTCAATATTGTGAATCTGAAGATATCAGGGATCATGATGGTAAGACGAAAGTCTCCTCCGTCCTTTTTGCTATTCGTATGGCTCTTGAGGAGCACGTATCTGATAGCGCTGCAAGAGAACTTTGCATTTTGACCACTCTAGCTCGCAGTGATCCACCAGCTCTTGAAGAAGCTTTAAAGAGGGTAAAAGTCCTCCGAGAAATGGAGCTGTCAGATTCAGATGCTTGCGGAAGAGAACATTATCTTTCTGCCGAGGAAGCTATGAAACATCTTTTATGGCTATCTGACTCTGAGGCTGTTTTTGACTCAGCTTTGGGTCTTTATGATTTGAATCTAGCTGCTATGGTTGCTTTGAATTCTCAAAAAGATCCAAAAGAATTTCTTCCATATCTTCAAGAATTAGAAAGCATGGAAACTGTCTTAATGCAATATACTATTGACCTTAAGCTGCAGCGGCACGAGAAAGCTCTTAAACACATCATCTTGGCTGGAGATGCATACTTTGAGGACTGTATGAACCTGATAAAGAATAATCCTCAACTTTTTCCTATGGGACTTCAACTTATCACTGACTCATCAAAAAGAGAGCAAGTCCTTGAGTCTTGGGGAGACCATCTTAGTGCCAAAAAGTTATTTGAAGAAGCTGCTACAACTTATATGAGCTGTAATTGTATGGATAAGGCAATAAAAGCTTATCGCGATTCTGGTAATTGGTGTGGGGTTTTGATGGTTGCTGGTCTGATCAAACTTGGAAGCGAAGAAATTTTGCAGCTGGCTCAGGATCTCTGTGAGGAACTCCAGGCACTTGGTAAGCCAGGGGATGCTGCAAAGATTGCCTTGGAGTACTGTAGAGATGTCAATGCTGCTATTACTTTATTTGTTAGTGCAAGGGAATGGGAGGAAGCACTGAGGATCGCTCTTCTGCACAGGAGAAATGATTTGGTCCTGGAAGTCAAGAATTCATCTGTAGATTGTGCCAACTCATTAATTTGTGAGTATGGGGATGGTCTGGAGAAAGTTGGGAAGTACTTGACCCGATATTTAGCTGTTCGACAAAGAAGATTGCTACTTGCTGCGAAGCTCAAGTCAGATGGGGCATCTGTGGATGAATTTGATTATGAGACAGCTTCTGAAACTAGCAGCAATTTCAGTGGAATGAGTGCCTATACCTTAGGGTATGTTTTTTGTAAATCCTTATACAGTGGCACCTTTATAGAGTTTTCATTCTTGTGACCATCCTCTCGTCATACTAGAGTTTGCGTGTCAGGATATATGGACTAAAAAAGGGGATATAAGATCACCCATTTCTTCCTACACCAAACTTGAATGGTCTGTACCTCATTAAAAATGAAGAGGATAAAAAAAACCATCGCGGATTTTAAGATATCCCATGTACTGCCATTTCTAGTTTTCTAGTACTCAACATTTGATATATCCACTTTTCATCTTGGTATGTGAATTTGGAGGTATAAATTCTAAACTTTTCATGAAACTTATAGCTGCTTTTATTTATCAGGACAAGAAAGGGAGCATCAACTACCATTAGCTCAACTTCTACTAAAAAGGGAAGAGGGTTGAGGTCTCAACGGAAGAACGGGAAAATACGTGCTGGGAGGTACGTTTTGATTCTTGAAATGAAGGTTCTTCCCTTCTACCATTAAGGTCCTTCTAAAACTGCATTCTTGTCCTAGGTTATACTACGTATATTTGTAGTAGTCATTCCAATCACAAGTGTGGCGAAACAAGTACTTAAATTTGTGCACCTGAGTTCTTAGTCAAACTGGGAACTTGGAAGGTATGTTAGATTACAAGGTTGAGACTTTAGAGGCTTCTAAGTCATCCCTTCGATACATCAACTTATAAACAGGTGATTTGAGTAGTTGAAAAACCTATCCATGGAGGTGTAGTGCTCACTAAAACTTCTTCCACACACTCATATGTATATATAAGAAATACGTCATAGAAAAGAAAGAAATGATAAGATTCAGATGGAGAAGGAATTAGTGGAGAAACATAGTAAGAGAGAAATGGAAAAGAAATCTGTTGAAATTGGGAAGATATTCATTTTTCTTCATATAAATGAAAAACTAAATAAGTTGTGGGATCCACCATTTTCTTTTCTCACCCTATTCCTTTCTCATCAAACAACAAATATCTTCATATTTGATTCTATTATATTTCATGTTATTGAGATTTTTGAGCCAATGTGCACCGGGGGGGCCTTTTTATTGAGATTTTAGAGGCAGTGCATTGCATTTTCGATTCAGTAACTTATGGCAGGATCGCTTTTTTAATTGTGTATCAGTCCTGGTGAGGAGTTGGCTTTGGTGGAGCACTTGAATGGGATGGCTTTGGCAGTGGGGGCAAGGCGCGAACTTAAATCACACTTAATTTGCCTAATGATGCTACATGAAGGTGCTGTGGCGAAGAAGTTGCAATTTGCTGCAAAAAGTTTTCAACTTTCTCAAATAGCAGCTGTGCGATTAGCTGAGGATGCGATAGCTTCTGATAAAGTTGATGAGCAATCGCATTGTTTAGACAAATACGTTCAGAGAGTCTGGGAGGAAATCCAGCATTCAGAAGTGTTTTCATGGCAGGTGAAAGTGTTGGTTTGACTTGACCATACTACTCTTTTTGTAGGATTAGTTTCCCAAATGGAGAGGCGGTTAGTTGCAGCCCTCTTTGTTTTGTTTCACAATTGTCTTTATTTGGACAATAGACAATCTTGGATTATACAATGTAACCTTATCACGTGTCATCCTAGGAAGAATAGGACCTTATATTACAGTGCGTGAATCTAGAGACGACCATAAATTAGCATGATGATGACCTTGTTAGAGTTTTTATTAGACTAGTTTTGTATTTCGAATGGTCTGTCTTCATGTAAATCTTGTACTGTAGACCCTTTATGGGTTATTTTCGAGTGGGATTTGTTTTAAATATTAAAGTACTAGTATTTTTACCCGTGCCATGCACGGGTAAAGTACACTTTTATATTTTGAACTTTATTATAGAATGTAGGGAAAAAATATTTGACGGTGTCAGTGTCGTTCCATAGAATGAGAGTGAATGAGTGATTACATATGTTGACATCGCCACTAGATCTAAATTTGGTAACTCACCATCGTGTCAAAGGACTAAACACCGATACCATTTGTTAAATCTTCATTGTAAAGTTTCCACTATTGCAAAAGGCTTCATAGTCTCAATAAGGATATTATGTACTATGTATCTAATGTTGTCATTTTTGTATTTTATTCAATCAAATTGTTTTCGTTTTTGTCCCTGTGTAATTTTCTTTTTGTTACTTATAATACTTGGTAAATGGCAACCGGGAGTCCGGACTTGCCCTATTTATTTTTGTGATTTATCTTCTGAGTTTATAAAAAGATTGTGACTTTGAGTTTTATTAGACACAGTAACAACAACAAGAGGTGATAGTAGGCTGCACAGCAACAATAGGTGTCTTAGAACAACGCGATGACATTAGTTTGTTTTTAAGCAACAATATGTGAGTGTTTAAGCAACGACAATGACATTAGTTTGTTTTTATGAGAGTTATTGAGAGTACTATGATCATATTAGATAAAATAAGTGTTACTGAATGAAAGAAGATTGTATATATGTTTTAGACTTTAACCGTGTAAGATTTATTTTTGATCACATATCTAGATGCTCATTAAAAATTTCAACCACATCGAGAAAAAGAATAATATATCCTACACTCCTCGTAGTAGATTAGAATCAACTCGTTGATGACCATAAATGTATACTGTTATTATTATATTTTAACCAAAGAGAACACACGTCAAATAGTAGCTAATAATCCGAAGTACAATACTTGAATTCTTGTAAACCCATGTCGTGCACAAGATAAAATGATTTATGTTTTAATTTAACTATATGTGTGTCATATAAAACGTTATTTGGCACGTGAGTTCTAATCACTATAATATGTGATCAACTATACATCACTTTTATAGTCCGTGCCGTGCATGAGATAAAATGATTTTTGTTTCAATTTAACTATATGTGTGTCCGCACATGGACATATGTATGAGTCATTATAATCAACGGAAAGTCACTTATTTAGTCGATTATAACATTGGTTGATGATACTTATTCTTATTTATTGAGTATGTCTTATTTTTTAACATATTACGTAAACATGTTTTCCGTCTATATTTTCTCATTAAAAGAATCAATTTTTATAGCTCTTAGTTGCATCCAAATGAACTCCGTCTTTTCAATCATCTTTATCTAAACAAAAAAAGAAAAAATTGTTCAACGTCTATTTTTATCAATTAGATTTCATATGTAACTATTTTTCAAAACTAATAACTATGCATTTTTGTAATTTATTTGTTTAATAATGGGTGTGGTCATAACTTTTAAGACATTAGACCTTCTATGATTTACCATTGAGAAAATTGGTCCTTCAAACTTCCTCTTTAACAAAAAGTTCAAAATATACGTAGTATAATTTTGTGACATTCTAATTGTAAATGGGTGATGATAGCTATATAACGCGATGGGTAGCGGTCGATTTATTTTCATTAGATTGATTTTAAATATGTATTATTGATAGAAGAAAGATTGCATGCTTTAGATTTCTAGTAGGCAATTTTTACCTAGAAGGTTAACAGAATTAAATCTATAAAATGATTCTCATTTCAAATGGTATGTAAAAATCGAAACATAGATAGGTAAAACTATGCAATAAAAAATAGGAAAAAATGATTGTGATAATCCCAACTATTGGCGGTCCGCTTATAATAATCCCAACTATCGATTATTTTAGAATAATCCCAATTTTAGGGTCCTTCTGCCAATAACAGTCCCTATAAATAAATTCATGTACTTTCTGAAGTGGATGAGAAGAGATATAACAAGTAATCTCTATAAATAATCTTAACTTTTATTTTTTACGCTTAATTTCTATTTAAAATTCACTTTTATAGAAGGTAATATTTGGTCATGGACTATTATTGGCGGATGGTCCATATAGTTGGGATTATACAAAAATAATCAATAGTTGGGATTATTGTTAGCGGACCGGCAATAGTTGGGATTATTATTTTCAATTTTTCCTAAAAAATAAAGATGCCTCATATTTAGAAACATAAAAGTGATCTCAAATTTATGACCAAATAGTACTATATTAAAGTTACATCTATGAGTAAAAGAATTATCATTTATACACAGTTTAACTTATTTATCTAGCACTTAAACACCAATTCTAGTATCATGATATGATTGCGATATACGTAGTATGTAATTAATAAAATTTTCAGAGATCCGAAACTCTCGACAAAAATATATAAAGATTTATGTTAATATTTAATATATACACTAAAGTAATTTTTTTTTTACTTTTGTAGATCAAAACAAAAATATGATACCAATTGAATTTATCCTTAATTAGAAAGGTGAACACATAAAAAATTTCCAAGTTGATCGACATCGGGAAAAATTATGTAAAAGTTGTGTAATTGAGATTTGTGAACATGAGAAAGAAATAATAGGAACCATAAATTAATTAATTAAAATGAAACTGACAATTTTTTGGGACAAAAAAATTACTTGCTTAAAATAGTATAGTATATCAACCTTTACTAAATCCCCAACATCTTAATTTTGAGGCAACAGAGTGTCATTACTTTTGCCTAATCGGCTATTGAATGCGGTAGTAGTGTTAATAGGACTTAAGTTTATTATTAGACTTTAAGAGCCTGTTTGATAACACTAAAATCGGCTGAATCGGCTGATTCTACTGAAATTTATGAAGTTGTGGTTGTATTGGTTGTATTGGCTGATTCTGCTGATTTATGAAAAAATTAAATTTAAAATATATTTTATTAATAAAATAAATAAATAATTATATGTAAAAATAGCTAAAATGGTTTTCTACAGTAACTTCAACTGAAACAACTAGAAAAATAACTTCAATCTTACTTTTTCTTATTATTACACATTTCAGCGCGTAAAGTAAAGTTGTGTGTTTAGTGAAAAAGTTGGCTAATAAGCCTGATAAGCCTGATAAGCCGAATACCAGTGTTACCAAACAGGCTCTAAGAGTTACTAATCCCTACGTCTCAACTAAAGATTCTCACTTTCTTTTTTTGTTGTCCGAGTAAAAGTTCTCATTTCCATTTTAAGAAATAATTAGCATTTTAAAGATAATTTAATCATCAAATATTAAATATAATACGGAGTACATCTTTAATGCCATGTTATATTCAATGGCCCTATTATGTACTTATCAAAACTATTTTTCAAAATATACTTGAATTATCGGTTAAAAATAAGGATTAATATCTTCAAAAGAATTGATTACACCCATTTTAGATAAATATATTACAAAAGTATGTAGTTTGTTTTAAAAAAAAAAGAGCCACGGATCAAATTTTATAGATAAAAATAAGCATTGCGCATTTTCTTGACTATACCAATTTTTAGATAAATTAATTACAAAAGTTTGTAGTTAGTTTTGAGAAAAATAAGCTAGATTAAATTAAATGAATAAAAATAGGCACTGGTCATTTTCTTTCTTTTCTGTTTAGGTAAAACAATAACCTGGCGGATATTTACTATAAAGTATTTATAAATTCTAACTGAGGTCTTAATTAAAAGTAATTATTAAATAGTAGGGAATAAGAAGATACTCCGTAAAAGATTAGTAGTGAATATAAAAAGATTAATAATTACAATCGATTATTAATTGTTTATGAGTCTATTACAATTGTGTTAATTTTATATTTTTTGTTTTGGTGAAATTTTGTAGAAGAGCCCGGTAAAATTATATATGTTTGAGCAAAATTGTGTTAATCTATGTTAGAGTCAAATTGTATTTTTACATATAAATGTCATGTAAGAGTGCTTTTAATTGGTCTGAATTTTTCGAATCTGATTTGATATGTTTAAATATAGTATGTTCTAATTTAATTTGAACTGGTCTACTTTGATAGATATTTGTTCTATATATATCTTAGAACCGCCAAAGTCTAGTCTGGTTTGATCTGATATGTTCTGTTTTGATATGGTATGAGACTGAAACTAATCCAATTAAAACACCCTAAATATTTTAAGAAGCGTGGAGGAATATATCTAGGGAGAAGAAGATTGTAATGAAATAATCATATATTATAAGAATAAGGAGTACTGACTTGTGTTTTGAACGGAAGGAGTACTCAAAGATATAGAATATATCTTTTAGTCACTAAAATATAGGGGTGAGATCACATACTAACCATTCCTCCCATGCTAACCTACAAACTATCAAAAACGGTGCATCTTTACATTATTTGTACTGCATATTGAAGTTCAAAGTGTTGCATATTATTTGTACTGCATATTAAAGTTCAAAGTTTTGCATATTGTTTTTATTGCATATTGAAATTCACAGTGTGCATCTTTACATTATTTGTACTGCATATTGAAGTTCAATGTGTTGCATATTATTGAGTTAGTAAGTTAGTATTTTAAGCATGGTTAGTATGTGATCTCTTATCCTAAAATATAATTATATATTTTAGTGACTAAAATCCCTAACACTAATAATCCATCGTCTCTCCTGTCCTTTTTTCCGCTCAAGTCCAGACCCTCCAAGCTGAATCCGTCCGTCTTCTCTGGCCTCCCTTCCGATCAATGGCTGGCGTCGTCACTTCTCCTTCTTCTCATTCATCGATGTGCCTCCGTGACGCCTCGCCACCGCCATATCTCGTCTTCTTCTCCACATCTTTGACTAAAATCGATCAGGGGCGCAGATCTATCCTTGAGGGCCGCCGCTGATGTTGGTTCAGTTATCCTGGAGCGCCACCGTTGCTGGATATGCCGTCCGTTAAGGATTTAGGGTTACACACGACGGAAGGCGATGGAAAAGGTTACAGGATGTGGCAGCAATGGGGGATAGGGGTGATGAGCAGTGGTCTAGCCGTGATGGGGCAAGGAGGTCCTCGAAGAAGCACCGCTGGTGCTAGATCTGCCGTCCTCGATGCACTCC